TTTTTTGGCTGCTGAGCCCCGCCAAAGTTTACGTATTCATGCGCGAACGTGAAAGTTGTTTTTAGTTGCACTTTCCCAAACACTATCTCGGCCATACCTCGAAAATTTCGGCACTCCAGCTGCTTTAGTTTCGGAATTACAAAATTGTCTACATTAAATTTCACGTCATTATAATTAAGATGCAGAAGGACGCGAAAACTCAGTTTATTTTCAGAAGCACATCAGTGGAGAGCAAACAGCATTGTAAAATCACATTTCTCCGCAATCTTCTGCTTAATCTAATTATGCGTTTTTCCTTATATGCAAATGCAAAAACGCATATTGTGGCGATCTCGGTATGTGTGTGTGTGTGTCCGAATATTTCAACCAAGCAAACTCCGTCGCCAAAATTTTGCCGGTGGATTCCCCGGCCAAGTGCCACCCCATGGCCGCGGTATCCATCCTCACGCAAGTCTGAGCCCAGCGTATGAGGGGTGAAAGTTTTGGCTGGAAAAACGCTAATTCGGGAACCAGAAAAACTCGAAGGCTGAAATTTTGTGGTTATATCCACCGTTTACAGAGAATCAAAGATTTCAAATTCTGTCCCCAGGTGTGCGTAGCTCCCGCGTACAGCCCGTGATGGTTCCTGGCGCGAAAATCGCTGACTCAGGTACCAAGAAAACTGGAGGGTCGAAATTTTCAGGGAATGTTCCCAGCACAAGTGCAACTTAAAATTATCGAACTCAGGCCCTCAGTGCGTGTGGTACTCACGTGCGGCCTCGTGAAAGCTTTTGGCGGGTAAACGGCTAACTCGGGAATTAGGAAAGCTGGGGTGCTAAAATTTTCGGGGAATATTTCTAGCACATATACAGCAAAAATTCATCAGATCCAGCTCTCGAGCGTGCGTGGTTCTCACGTACTCGTCCCGTGAAAATTTTTTTGCGGGAAAACGGCTAACTCGCGAACCGAGAAAGCTGGGGGCTACAACTTAAAGGGAGTGTTTCCAGCACAACAAAAATTAATCAGAATCAGCCTCCAAGCATACGTGGTTCTCATGTACTGTCCCGTGAAATTTTTTGGCGGAAAATGGCTAGCTTGAGAACCTGGAAAGCTTGGAGGCTGAAGTTTTCAAGGAATATTCCCAGCACATGTACAACTTAAAGCTGTCGAATTCAGCCCCTCGGTGTACGTGGTTCTCATTTAAGGCCCCATGGAAATTCTTGGCGGGAGAATGGCTAATTCGAGGGCCGGGAAAGCAGGGAGATTGAAATTTTCAGAGGATTTTCCCTGTTAAAGTAAAGCATAGACAATTAACTTCATGAAAAAACCAGTATGTCAACACATTTCTTGCTGCTAGGATTTCGAGCACTCTCATTACAACATGAAACACTGCAAAACGCATGATCGCACGGTACGCGTCGCCAACAATTCTCTTTTCAGCGTACTGCCAATCTAAACTTTAAAGTGTACATGCATGAAACTTGGAACTGCGTGGTGGCTGAATTTAAATTCCTTAGGTTTCACATTGACAGGAAACATTTTCATAAAATTTTGGCCTCCTAGCTTGTCTGATTTTCAAAATCGCTTCTCTGCGAAAAAATTTGTATGTTTTTTAGGAAGCCATAAGTGAGATGAAAACGTACGTGAATGAAGATATTAAAACACCAAGGAAAAGGAGTTAGATGAAAACATGCTCCAAGAGTTTCAGCTTCTCGGCTTTTTTGGTTGCTAAGTTAAAAGTGGGTGATAATGCGAGCACACAACACACACACACACACACACACACACACACACACACACACACGTATACACCGACAACTTCTTGTCAATTTGCGTTTTTACGTGTTTTGTACTACAGCAGTTGCTCAAAACGCATATTGTCCAGAGCCCGTCAGTGTTTGTTTGTTTGTGTGTGTGTGTGTTCCGAGTATATTTTATCCAGGAGTTCCAACTTAGAACCAGAGAAGCTAGGAAACTGAAGGTTCAAAAAAATGTTTCCTGGTCACGTGCGACCCCGCAGACCCAAATTCAACTTTCGTTTTCCTCCGGTTACCGTGTACGGCCCCACGAAAGTTTGGCAGGAAGAATGATTATCTCGGGGAACGAAAGCTGGGACGCTGAAATGTTAGGATAATGCTCCATGCCACCATATGACTCGGCAAATTCAAATTAAGCCGTCTCGCATGCCCGGGTATCAAATATGGTCCAATGAAAATTTAGGTGCGAGAAGAATTAGGAGATCGAAAGTTACAGAGGGGTCTTTTCTGTTTATGCAGTTGAGCCTAATACACTCAAACCTAACTTCCCAAGTATGACGGGGTCTCACGTACGGCCACGTGAAAGTTTTAAAGCGAAAGTTATCCGGAAGCCAAAGAACTAGGAGACTGAAATTTTGGAACATTGTTCGTCGTCCAAGGTTTCAAATTCAGCTCTGACGCACGTCTGCGTTTCATGAGCCTGTCGGTAATTTTTTAACAGAACAAAGCATAAAACAGTGAAAATCCATAGAAGGA